TAGGGAAAAGCAGGCCAGGCCCGGCAGCGCTGCCCGGGTCGGCACCCCCCGCTCGGCCGGGGGCTGGGGGCGATGGGCTCGTCTGGGCGGGGGCGGCACAACCAGCCCGAGCGGAACGGAGGGTGCTGCCGAGCGGGAGCAGGTGGCGCCGCATGATGCCGCTCAGGCCAGCTGTGAGCTGGGGGGGTGCTGGGAGGCACCCGGGAGGAAATGCAGGAGGAGCCCCCAGACCCACTCAGGACAGGGAGCTCCCCACCCCGCTGACGGAGCACCCGGCCGCCCACCCAAACCCACACGGGCTCGCGCCGGGCGGCCAGAGGTGGAGGGTCCCCCCGTGCCCGTCCCCCACACGGGGCTTATCACGATAAAAAGGGTCGCAGCCGGCAGCTGCTCCGCCGTGCCACCCGCGGCCCCTCCTGCTCCGTGGCGGCCGTAGGAGAGGCTGGCGGGCAGGAAGGACGGGTGGGTGGGTGGGTGGGTGGGTGGGTGGGTGGATGGTGCATCTGCTGCTGGGCTCATTACAGTAACGGAGGCGGCCGCGGCGCCAGGCTTTTACCGGCTGAGCTGTTCGGTGAATTACGGCAAGGTTCCGCATTGTGGTAATATGATTTTTTCAATATATTCTGTTTGGATTGGCAGGTCGGTCTCACTCTTTCTCAACTGACTGATAAAGCACTAGACAGGGGATTAGTCCTCTTGGAAGCTAAAGAAAGAGGTAATATGGGTTGTTTATAGCCTGCAGGGGTAGAATCAAAATGTACAATACTGAGAGAGTCAAACTTTTACAGCGTACGGCACAGCTATAACTCAGAGCAAGTATCAAACATTACAGTCCTGTGAAATGCATTCCCGTGACAAAAGGCTGGAAAGGCAGAAAGAATGAGAGGAATTAATCTGTTCATGGGACAAATACTGTAATGAAGACAGGAAGTGCCAGGAAAATTAACCCTTGCCTGAGCAGGTTTTATTTAGCATCAGACTGTTTGGTCCAGAAATCTCGCCTCTGCACTTCGGGCGGCGTCAGAAACGACCCAGGCACCGGAGACACTGCTGGTTACACAGAGGGGCAGCCCTGGTCTGACCTTGGCTTTTCTACATTAAAAGAATAACAGCTTTCCCTCAACGGGATTTTGTTGGATTTTCATAGCTATTAAATCTAATTGCTGAGATAGAGTTATAAAATTATAATTTTAACCATGCAATTTAGATGGAGTAACCGGTCGTCTATTTCTGTGATTATCCCTGATTATTAAATGAACAGCTGCCTCCAAATATGTTTGCAACAAACTAATTCAATGAGTGCATGTGCCTGAATATTCATGGCCCAGATTTTGCGGCACAGACTTTTAAGACTTTTTCACTGTGGCTTTAAAAGTTAATTTATCCTGGCAATTTAAATAAATACACTTCCATCAGCTTTGGTTAGTGCTCCAGACTTTAACACTAAGTTTGGCAGCAAGCGAAGGTGTCCCAGCCCCTGCTTCGACGCCTGCCCGCTGCAGAGCACTTTCAGTGGAGGCAGACACCGGGGTTTGTGTCGATTCCAGACCTCTCCCGTGCCTTGTTTGCGGGTTTGACAACCCTTCTCCACAGAGCACTAACAAAATGTGACACTCCACAGTCTGTTTGTTTTAACTTTTCCACTAAATTTTGCAACCCTGCCAAGTAGCCGGGAAATAACCTGCCCTCCCCAAGCGCTGAAATACGGACAAGGCTGGCTGGCGTGACAGCCAGCAGGCAGCTCCCCCGGCCTGCCTGCCCGCCGCCGAGCCGAGGAATGGCTCTAGACAGCTCCGCAGCCATCGTTTCATTGGGAATTTCATTTTCCTCCTTGCGAAGGATGCGCCCCCCCCTCGCTGCCAGCCCGGGTGCTGTGGGGGGGGGGGTGCTGGGAGCACCCCCGAGGCAGCAGGCGCCGTTTCCAGCCCCAGGCCCCACGGGACAGTGACAGAGCCCACCCACTGGGGGCCACGCCGACGCAGCGGGGCTGCCCCTCAGATGGCACCTGCCCGCTCCCCACCGCTGCTCCTGCCCCCGGGGAGCAGCACGGACGGGGGCAAAGCTCTGCAGGGTCGGTCTCTGCGTGGAATTGATGCCACTCTCCCCAGCATGGTCTACAAGAACAATACATGCATCACTTGTACTTGAATTGCTGCATACCCTTCAGAGTAAGCTGCACTTCTACTGACCAGTAGAACACTTTAATAATATTCACGGCATGATACAGATCATTTTTTAAAAAAATTATTACCTGTAACACAAGCAAGTGCCCAAGAATAGTTATTTCACCTGATGCTGCTCATATCGTGACGTGCTGCAGTTTACCCTGGGGTCTCCCAGCCTGCGCGGCAGCGTGCAGCCTCTGGAGCCTGACCGAAACCTCCTGCGCTTGGGAATGTGCTGGGATTTACACACTTACTGGAGAGAAACTGCTCGGGAAGGCGGCATGGCTCCCGGGATGCATTCCTGCTAGGCAAATGCTCGCGGCTGCGGTGCCGGGGTGCTCCATCCTGCCTCCCCTGCGGGAACACCGGCAGCCGCGCAGCTGGAACAGCTGAGCACCAGCCCAGAAAGTCGACCCTAGTTCGGGGCAGTGACTTGTGTAACCTCCAACTGCAACATCTTCCTCACATCCTCATAGACACATCCCTTGGCAAGCAAACACCAGTTAAAAAAAAAAAAAAAAAAATCTTTTAAAAGCTTTTATTAAAGATCCAAGGAAAAAAAGAAGATAATAATCTGTTAAAGCATTTGAAATGTAAAGTAGGGCTTTCATTTTAACAGCACCCCTGATTCCTTTTGTCTCTTTCTGTACAGAGGTTTCACAAGAATATACACAGTTTGACAGATTTTCAGATGATATTAAAGAAGGCAACATCTGATTGTAGGGGAAACGAAACAGTTTAACTGAGACAGGCTAGAGCTGTTGGACCGTGACCTGCTGCTCCGCAGAACCAGACGAACAAACGCCAACGGAAAGGGAAGACAACTGGGGTCCTGCTACTGGGGGCAACCGCAACCGCTGCGAGAGCGAGAGCAGCCCCTTGGCCGGGCACAGCCTTCCCGGCTCCCTGCGCCCAGGGCGGGCCAGGGCGGGCCAGGGCGGGCTAGTGTGGGCCAGTGTGGGCTAGTGTGGGCTAGTGTGGGCCAGTGTGGGCTAGTGTGGGCCAGGGCGGGCTAGTGTGGGCTAGTGTGGGCCAGTGCAGGCCAGTGCGGGCCAGGACGTGCTTCCTGCTGCTCACCCCGTGCCCACAGCCCTGCAGGAGCCCTGAACAGAGATGGGGACGGGGGAACGCATCCCAGGAGAGGGTGCAGACAGGGCAGTGGGGCCCAGCAGCGCTCCTCCCAAACCTGAGGCAAGGTGCAGCGCTCAGGACGACTGCCACCCCCTTAGCAGCACAGTGCCAACCTCTGCCAGTGCTGACAGGGAGCACAAACACGCGGCGTCGCAAAGGGCCGCGGGGCTCGGCAGACAACGCGTGCGAGGGGAGCGAGGGCACAGAGAGCTGGCAGAGGGGACCTGACGGCCAGCCCCGCGCGCATCGCTCTCGGACACTGCCTGTTGCCACATCCAGACCTGGCACAGCTGTGCTGCCGATATGGGCAGTAACCAGAGCGCCCTTTGCTCCTAAACACTCAGTTCCCCACGGGGGATCTTGGACAGCAGATTCCACAGTACAGAAAATATGTGGCGATGGCACAATCAGACCTGCCCCAGGTTTGCCGCTGATGGAGCAGGGAGGATGGTGCTGCCAGGGCAGCGACCGGCGCTCAGCCGCCCACAAGCTGTGCCGGGGACACTTGTGCTGGAGCTCGGGCAGCCTCTCCCGGCAGGGCGCAGGGGCTGGGGCTTGCAGGGGAGGCAGAAGGGACGAGAGGGACCCAGCACAGCACGTGCTTCACGGAACCACCGGCCATGCAACAGCCCCATCCGGCAGAGAGCCGGATCCTCCTTGAGCTGGCAGATCACGGCGATGCCACAGCGTGGTCCCCGCCTGCCACTCTCTCTGACGGCTGCGATTTGGCCACAGGCTGGGTGCTGAGGCTACCCCGCTCGAGAGCTGGTCTGCCATGGGCTGGGCACAGGGACGGGTACCTGCTTCCAGAGATTGCCCCATCGCCGGGCTCAGCTTTCCCCAGGCGTCACCCAAGGGAGTGGGATCCAAAGATCCACATGGAAACTTGTCCCCGCATGCCAGTCACCTTGGGGGAAACCAGAGCTGCTCCTCAGCCCACGCGTGACTGCTGCCAGTCCTGCATCCCCGCTGCCTCCCAGCCTGTGCCACGGCAGCACCCACATCTCGGGAGGGGAGGAGGATCTCTCAGCATCTGGCTGGAGCTCCTGTAACAAAGCCCTTCCCCTCTTTTGGCAAACGCGTTCCTTCTTGTTTCTGTCCCTGCCAGTCCTGGCAACTTTCAAACACCGGTTTCTCACCAGTGAATTTCTAGCAGAAGCCTCGCGTAGCAGGCGGGCGCCGGGGCTCAGTCGCGTCGCCGGGCAGGGTAAGCCTCCGCAGGACACGCTGGCCGGGACGGGCGCCGCGGAGGTGAGGGCCCGTCTCCCCGGGGATGCACAGCCGGCTGCCTGGGCCCCGTCCCACCGCCACCCACCCCAAGGCCAGCGGCACGGCGCCCGCTCCCCCGGCCCCCGGCCCCTCTCCGCCAGCCCCGCGGCTGCCTGGCGCGGCAGCTCCCTGGGCGAACCCCGGCCGGAGGCTGAGGGTGCCCGAGGGCCCTGCTGAGCCGTGGCCTCTCCTGTCCCTGTGGCCCCCGGGCCCGCGGAGCCCTCCCTGCCCCGCAGCAGCAGCCGCCGGCTCCCCGGGGGGGTCCGTGCCACGCAGGGCAGGAGCAGGGTCCCTGCCCCAGGACCGCGGCTCGGCGGGGACAGGGCTCTCCTGGAGCCGGGGAGACAGACACAGGCTCCAAGAAACGCTCCTGCTGTTCTAACAAGAAGCAATAGATTAAAAAGCTAGTTAAAAATTCATCCAAGAGAGGCAGAGTTTCCCAAGCATATCAGAGTTAATATTTATAAAGGGGATTGTTGCTCGGTCTCAATTATCCTAAAAGCTTGGTACAATTGATGCATTGGAGAAACCGCGAACACAGGCATGTCAAGGGAAAACCATTCCCTGTGACCGCTAACAAAATGCAATCAGATCTGCAACATGTGGAGCCAATTGATTTTCAACAAGTTATACAATGTAAACAAATGATTGATTCTGGGGCTCCTTTTATTTCTGAGCAAGCAGTCAGAAATCTCTCCAACTACTCTGAGCAGGTAAGGCTGGTGGTAAACAAGGGCTGCAGAGGGGCAGCATGCAGTCCTTTCATCAACCTGCGAACAGCAGGAGCTTTGATTTCTTTTTCCCCCAGCCCCTTAAGCAGCCACTAAATAATCAACAATTCCTCAAGTAAGCAACCCCCTGATCATGTGAAATCTTTCTGTTGCCAGTGGTCATGTCGGACCAGCTTCTGCCTTCAATGAGAGTCAGGAGTTTTTTATTGCTTTTGCATTTTGCCTCCTCTGATGTTTCCAGCCTTCATCTGATTTACCCGAGACAGATGAGACAGGAATATCTCCAAGAGCTTTATCACTTCTCTCTGTCAGCAGCGGCTGTTAAGTCAACAGTGCGGTGGTGTGTGTCTGGACCAGCGGTACAGAGGTTGCTCAAATCGTTCTCTGCTCCCGGTGAAACCAATAAACTGTACTCCACTGCATCGACTCGGCTCCCCCTCGTGCCCCCTGCTTCTGTCAAATTAAATCTCGGCCCATCACCGGCAGCTGCCCATACCGGCACGCATCCCTGGGCACCCCGGGTGGGGTGAGCACCCCGGGAGCTGGGGCTGCGGCTGCCGGTGCAGCCCCCGCTCCGCAGCGGGGCCGGGGGCCGCGGGGAGCTGCAGGTCAGCGCGGGCGCCGTCGCTCGGGGAGCTGCGGGCGCGGACGGGCTCTTGCGAGGGCAAAGCGGTTTCTCCGCGCACCCCCCGGGGACCGCGCACCCCCGCACCGCCCGGCCCCGCACCGCCAGGCGAGAGCCGCTCTCGGCACGGGCCTGTGCGCGCAGGCACTGCTGAACCACCGTGCCCATCGCGGCGGAGAGCAGCCCGGCATCTCCCCCCCACCCCGTGCTCTGCATAGCTCCTCCTCGGCTCTGCCTGGGCGCCTCAGCTCCGCACCACTACCAGCACCCCTGGAGAGGGCTGGCCCGGCCTCCCCAGCTCACGCTGTACAGCTCTAGCAGCCTGCCAGCACAGCCTGCCCGCGTTGCACCTTGTGTTTTACCTATCCACTGCTCCACTTCTCCTTTTTCCCCTTACCTACACTCCTGGTCGCATCCTGCTCAGCCCTGCGGCGCTGGGGCTGTTTCGGTGACACAGAGGCACCAGCGCCGGGCAGAGCGTGCTCCCGGTGCGGCTCGCTTCGCCCCTGCTCCCCCGCCCTTCTGAGCTTCACAGGGCCACTGCCGTGCCGTTCAGATTACTGATTGAGTATCTGAGAAGAGAGTCACATTTCCATGAACTGTGATAATTATTGCAACAAGAGCAATAAAAATGCATTTCCAGAGCTCCGCCACCTGCTTACTTACGCCCTGTTTGCAGGATGATGTGCAGTTGGGTGTTTCTGCAGCACAGGGTCCCAGGGGAGGGGCAGTCGCTGGCCCATGTCCCACACCCCCGGGGGACAACAGTCTGGAGGAGATTTGCCAGCCCCCAGCAAGTGCAAAGGAGCTCCTGGGGAGGGTGGAAAGGGCCGGCAGCAGGGCAGGGGGGAACCCCCCTTGTGCCAACAGGTGAGGGGGGACTGGGCTGCCAGGGCCGGGTTTGGCAAAGAGCACGTTGTGAGCTGAGCTCCAGCCTCGCTGGGCAAGAGCGGGGAGAGGGGCTGTGCGGGGGAGCACGAGAGGGACACGGGAGAGGGCCCGGGACGGGACCGGAGCAGGGGCAGACCCCAGCCCCGGCCGGGAAGCCACGGGCTCACTCGCCCCCGGCTGAGGTGCCGAGCGGGGACGGACGCGTCTGGTTCCCCAGCGCGAGCTGCCATCGCGTTCTGCCGGGTTTGCAGTGCTCCCTGTTAGCTGGGCCTCGAGCCAGGACCAGCGCTCCTCTTCGCCTGGGGCTCCTCCGGGGCTCGGGGCCGGCCCTGGTTAAACCGGGGGGGCTGAGGGCACTCTGCTCTTCCAAGGATGCTGGGCACCTTGTGCTGGGACCCGAGCCGTGCAGAGCCGTGGGTGGGCAGGGGGTCCCCAGGGAGATAGGACAGGGGGGTGCAGCCCCTTCCCCGCAGAGCGGGGACGGCGTGGGGCTGTCTCCTGGGGCACCCAGCTTGCTGGGCTGCCGCTGCCCTTCCAGGAAGAGCAGCCTCCTCCTTGCTGGGCCCGGCACTCGTGGAACCCCCGCCCCGGGGATCCCCAGAGGCGGCAGCGCCGCGGGGCTCCCTCCACGAGCAGCGGGGCCATAGCCAGCGCCGACCCCCGGCCGGCCCCCCCGCGGTGCTGGCGGGGGCACGTACGCCGTGCCGAGGGCCGCGGTGCCCGCGGCGTGTCGCGCGGCTGCCAGGCGCCGTGCCCGCTCCCGGTGCCTGGCACTGTTCCCCGCAAGTGGGCACAAATTCATCCTAAAACACAAACAAAGGAGGAGGCAGCAAAGTCGTCACTTGCGTGGGCGCTGAGAGATTCCTGCACGGGGAGGGACTTCACCACGGCCAGGAGTATTTCTGTTTAAAATTAAAATGGTCTTTTTAAAGCAGATTAAAACGCACTATGAAAGCGACCATGAACAGCTGTGATCTCACGGCAAAGACTTTCCTGGCTCTTTTAGAAATTGCCCTGTTCCCATTACAATATCAGCATAATTCTGCCTCTTTATTTCAAGCTTGCAAGATATTTATATTTCAAATAATTTTTAGAGTTCAACTGTGAATTGAAAGCTGTTTTTTCAGCTTGTGTATTAAGTGTGTGTGTGTGTGTCCAGTGCTAAGCCTTATTGCCATGTAATTTGTACAACATAATTAACCATGTAGAAACCATAATACATTGTGTTTGGAAGAGTTACATCCAGTTAATCTAATTGACTAATAACATGTTTTCATTTAGCAGCACGTACTGTATTTCCAGTGATTGAATTAATGTCATGTTAACGGCTGCTTTTTGCAACAACATTTGGCATAAATTGCATTAAAAATTGATGTTCGTACAAATGTATTTTGAATACAGCTCAGCATGTGGCCTGGGAAAACACTCCTGTTGTTCATTAAATCAGCTCTGTTTGCAAGTGCACTCAGCAGAGCGGCACCACAAGCGCCCTGTCCTGTTTGCTGGTGGGGCTGGGCTGGGGGCCCTGCAGCCCCCCGCCACCCCCGTCCTGCCCCGGGGCCAAGCCTCCCGCGGCCGCGGGACGGACCCCCCCTCTCACCCCCCGGCTCCCGGGCGCGGGGTGACCCGCGTGGGCTCCTGCAGCAGCTGCGGGAAGGATCCCTGCTGATGGAGGGACCGTGGCTGGAAAGCTCTGGGCACCTGCTGGGGCAGGGGCAGACCTGGAGGCACAGTTAGCCCTGTCCGCCAGTAAAGTCCCCACCGCTGGGCCTGGCTAGCCTGCCCGCCTTTCCCCCACGGCGCCCACGAGGACAGAATGGAAACACGCTCCCCAGCCGCCTCCTTCCCTCTCGTCTGTATTTGCACGTGGCCCCGAGGGAGGCGGATCGATGCGGCTGCACCCGGGAGACTAACGCTCGCTTTGACCTGCCACGGGAAACAAATGGGACCGCGCAGATGGGGCCCCTCTCTGCCAGCCCTCCATCCTGGGGGTGCGAGGAGAGCTGGCATCTGCAGGGCTCGGCCTGCGGACAGCAGCTGGAGGCCCCCGGCACCCGAGCCTCCTGCCACGAGCACGATGAAGGCTCCCGAAGCTCTCCCTCACACCCAGGGTGGCTCCAGAGGCTGCTCAGCCCGGGACGGTGGATGAAGAGCACAATTAAAAGGACGGGATCTGCTGCGCTCAAGTGAAATCTCCAGCAGGAGCTGCAGTGCCTCTGTGGGCTGGCTTGGTTGTTTTTCCCCTGCAGCACCAAGCCCCAGCTCCAGCCTCAACCACAAGCAAAACAAGGAAATGCAGCCCAGCCCAGCCCGGAGCTCTCTGGAGCCCACTGGAAGGGAGGGAGGGCTGCGGGGGGGAAGGCCATGCCTGTCCCAGCGCGGGAGCGGGCGAGGACAGAGCCCTGCCGGGGGGCACAGCCGCCCCACACACACTCGCCTGCCCTGGGCGAGCAGACCCACCGCCTCGGCCCCAGCACATCCCGGCTAGGGGGAAGAGCCCCCACTGTCCTCGCCCAGACACCCCCCACACCAGCCTGCCAAGACGCCTGAGGTCTGCGGGGATCTTCTGTGCACATTCCAAATGCACTTAAATAAAAAATCGGCTCGGCCCGGGCTGTGCAGATGAGAGAAAGGCAGAGCTCCCGGGGCTGCCTGGGCTCCCCGCCGGCATCTCGGCACGCTCGGGGGCTGACACGCCGGGGTCCTGCTCGGCAGCGAGCGCGGCTCTGGGGAGCCTCCCACCTCTCCTGCACACACGCATGCATGCACACACCCCCCACCACCCCCCTTTCTTCCTCCTCGCAGTGCTTCAGGAGTTCCTCTGTGGTGAATAAATAACAAGAGCTGGGTTTTGATTCTGCACGGCAAAGACGCTGCTTTGAGGACTGGCTGTGATTCCTCGGAGCCTTCTCGCTCTGCCTGTGTTGTACATCACTACTAGAGAGGAAAATAATGGTTTATGAAATTCAAGGTGCAAAGTGGAGACTGTCAAGAAAAACGGTGAGCCCGCACGGGCTTTTTCCTTTTGTGGTTAAATTTACGTAGCGTGTCTTGGGTTTCATTATTTACAGGTTGTGTCTTTCCTCATTCCTTTGACAGGTCCTTGCACGGCGGCAGGGACGTGCCAGCCTGGGAATGGCTCAAGAGGTGGCACAAACACAAAGCCACGGGCCTTTCTGGATCCACTGTCCCCTCTGTCCCTCCCTCTCCCCTCTGCCCTGAAGCATCCTCAATGCACACATTTGAAACCTAAAAGAACCACCGTGCTGGTGCCGGTCCCCTCCTCAGGTGTTACCTGTTGGATGGCAGTGAGCCTCCTGCCTCCGTCATCGTCGCTGTCTCCTCCTCTGTCAGCCCAGCAGCCGGCTGTGCCCTGCACGCTGCTGCCCTCGCTCACGTCATTGCGGCACGGCTGGACCGGCCACCTCTGTGCATCCCGAGCTACCTGGGAAACAGAGAGAGGGTCGGAGGGTGCTGGCGGGTGGCAGCGGGGATGCCCACGGCCCAGTGCCGCTGTGCTGGGGGATGAGGAGAGCCCCTTCCCAGGAACAGGAGCCGCCCCCACCCTTGCCCCGGTCCTGCCACTCCGGGCAGGGTGATAACAGGCGTTAACGCGTCTCAGCTCCACTTAATCTCAGCTCTCCCTTCGCCGATCATTTATGTGCTGCCACCAACAGATGTGGGCAAAGCGGGTAATGTCAGTGCTGGGGTGCTGGCCGAGGCGGGGGCTGCCTCAAGCGCCTGAGACTCACAAGAGACCCCTGAGTCTGAGCTGATACCCGAACTTCAGATCTCTACAGTGCTGCCAGAGGACTAGAAACAAGCCTTTGGGATAACGATCTGGAGATCCAGGAGGAGCCCAGTAAGCTCACAATGAGAACCCTGGCGCAGGAACCGGGGATGCCCTGCCTGCAGCCTGCATGCTCTTCAGCCTTGGCCCCTCCGGCTTCTGCTCACACAAACCCCGCGTCTCTGATCCGATTTCGGCTGTGACAGGATCCTCCCTTGAGCTCCTTCCCAAGTTTAGTGCCTCTGGCCAAGTCTCACAGCACTTAAACAGCACTGTCTCTCCAAACTCTGTATTTCTCACTTTTAGGTACAGGGAACGGATGAGCAGTGTTCTGTGTCTTTGCAGCAACACACCATCTTTAAGAAACAAGGCAGGCAACGTTTCTTGCAAAGCCTCAACGTTTCTGGACTGACAGCAAAGGCACTGCCTGCTTGCTGAGATCATGTTTTTAAGGACCACAGCTCCACTATTGATTATGATTTTTTAACAATTTAAAATCAATTAAAGAGGAACATCTGCACGTAGTTAGGAGATAATGCTAAACACTTCCCACACAGCCAGAGCAAACCACCTTCCCTGGGAAGATGGATCTGAGATGAAAAAAACACAGCAAACACAGCAGGACGTTGGGGTTCATGGCACAGCTAAGCGCAGAACTGGTGAATGAGATTCACAGCTCTGAGCATCACACTTACACTGAACAACTAGAAAATCTCTGGAAGATGTGACTGCTGGTTACCAGCCCCGCAGGAGGAGAATTTACTTAATTTAAAGCAACAGTTAGAATGAGATTCATTGGAGAAAATTGTATCAAACATCAGAGTGAGCGAACTAAATGCTTAAAGGTCACTTTTTAAAGAAAGTTCAAATACGATACGTATTACAGAACTTGTGAATGGTGCTTTTGCTTCAGGAGAGCACCTTGCGCTTCCTTGCAGATTTGTGAACAAATTTAGTGCCCCTAAGCAGGGGCACAGCACCACTAGACCCCAGCATCTGCAGCGCAGGCAGGCAACGCGCACGGCTGCCAGCAGCTCTGCCCAGGCCCCCGCATCCCGGGGGCCGCCCCAGCCCAGCCCCTCCTCACCGTGCCGGGGTGGGCCGCGGGGACCCTGCCGCCACGGGTCAGCTGCTGAGCCCCCTCCGAGCCCAGGACCCACGGGCTCTGCAGTGCCCGGCTGACCCCACGGGAGCGGGACAGCCCACGGGGGACGGGGCACCCCAGCACCACGTGCCCCGTTCTCCCGGGGTGGGCTCAAAGGGGCCCTCCCCAGCGGGGACTGCTGCCCCACCAGCACTGGCCTGACCTCGCCCACTGTGCCGCCAGGGACCATGGGCACCATAACACTGGGAAATAAAACCGCGTTCCTCTGTTTCCTCCTCCTTCCCCTGTAAAACTGCTTAAAAAGTGAATTTCTCTTCTCTCTCTAAAATGTGCATTTTTTGCGCTGAAATACTATCACTTTCCTACGGGGAAAACCTGCGAGAGCACCAGCATGCTCTTCCCCTCCTTCCAGAGCGGAGCAGCCCCCGACACGCAGCACGACAGGGAAACCTGCCGCCTCCCTGTGCCGCCTTCACGGCCCGGGAGGAGCAGGGCAGCTCCCTCTGCCCAGGGAGCAGGGAGGGCGCCGGGGTGCTGCCCAGGGGAGGCCTGGGACGCTGCTGTCACAGGTGCTCCCCGCAGGGCACGGGGGGGCCGCGGGCATTAGGACACCGGGAAAGCCCTCGCTGCCAGGGCAAGGAGAGGAGAGCCGCTGCTGGCATGGCTCAGCTCCGTGCCCCCAGGGCCTGAACAGCCCCCACACTGACCACACACTTCTCCGACACTTTCTATTGCTCTTTGATAAGCATCTGGCCATATGAAAGTCTCCCCAAGTCCTTCTTTGTTTGGGGATATTTGTTCATCTCAGCGCTGCTGACACAGACACATTTCTGAATGTGTTTTGTTCCAAATAAATGGGCCAGGCAGCCAACCAGGTAAAACCTATCACACTGCTGTCACCGCCAGGCACGTCCACCCTGCACGCTCACCCCGGGGACAGGCAGTCCACTCTCGCTCCTCCGGCTCCAGCAAACAGATGTAGCTCTGCTCGGCCCCACGCAGGAGAAGAGGGAGGGAGAGGACGAAACCATCAGATGCCGTTCCCAGCGCTGGTTGCAAGCTCCAGCCACAGCCCCCGCGCAGCCTGCAGCAGCCAGGGCTGATTTAATCACCCCACTCGACAGAGGAAGGGACGCGAGGGGAGGGTCGTATCACACATTGCTTTCCCCAGTTTGCTCCTGCCCAGATCTTGGCACGGAGGGGCTGGGGGCTGCTCGGGGGCGCAGCGCTGCAGGCCCAGGGGGCTGCCGAGCTCCTTCCCCAGGGGAAGGGGCAACAGTCACCCCCGTCTCCTTGGCGTGGGAAGGGGGATGCAGGGAGCCCAGCGGGCACTGCTTGGGTCTACATCCAACAGAAACTTTTTCTCCTGTTTCTCCTTCATGGATTCAAAATCCTCTTTTTTTTTTTTTTTTTTTTTTTTTTTATTCCATACCCAGCAGTGCATTCAGCTCCTGCTGGGAAGGAGGGGTTTGGTTTAAGATACTTGTAAAAGCAAAGGAAAAAAGGACAGGAAAATTGTTGGTTGTAGTGGCACTCGTCTAGGAGCCTGGAAAACAGGAAAACAATGCACAGATACATTTGTGCTGATGACAGCCTGAAATCTTGTCTACTCACAGACATTTTCCATGCCTTCACAAAAACATTTCTTCACCGTCTGTGTAAGCACCCTTCCTCTGTTGCAGCAAAACCCAATGGGCTGTGAAAGACACGAGTGGCCTGTGAACTGGGAGCGTTTCGCAGCTCTAGGGGGGAGAAAGTTTTCCCTCCTTAGTTTGCTGTCTTCCTCGCAGGTTATACAGGCTTAATATTCCAACTCTCATCCAGTTGTTGCTCATTAGCTCCACGGGCGAGCATCCCTGTACGCAGTCTGCACTATGGCAGGGGGACGTACAGGAGCTTAGGTACTACAACCACGTCACCAGCTTTAATCCCACGGCATCCACAGCCTACGTGGGAGCAACAAAGAGCTGCCTGCAGCGCACGTGCCGTTCAGCACAAGCTACCTGCGTGTGCTGCCGCTAACGCGGTTTGCACACAGAGAGGGAAGGAGGGATGTCCTACAGACTACATCTGAAACGGCAGAGATGTGGTGAGAAAGGCAATGCCAAACCGCAAGGCAAACAATGCAGCAGAGAACAGCTTTGGCCTCAGTGGGCATTACTGCTGAAAAGCAAACCTCGGTCAAACCGGGAATCAGCAGTGAGCAAGGAGGCAGGGTGTGGGCTGACGCCAGCCGCCAGGAATGCTGCTGCCGAGGAGTCCTTGGCACACTGCAAACAGAGCCCATCTCTGCAGATTTCAAAGGCAAATCATTGATTCTACTTCCACCCAAGGATCAGCACAAACAGGACCGACAGCCCCAACTCACTGGAATGTGCCTTGTCCATCCCCAGTGTGTCACTGCAATCAGCATCCCCCCTGAAATCTCTGGGAAACAAAAGCATACCCAGAAAAAGACTCCACTCGCAGAACCACATAGCACTTAAAAGTCATGTTCATAACAGAGTCATTAGTGTTGATTCTCACACTCTTTACATAGGAGCGGCACGTAATAATCATTTCCAATTAAATTACGCTTCTCCAAGGTGCATTAACCACTTTTATCCATCCGATTAATTGGACCCATCTCTGCTGCATAGAGCAGAGTTACATCACTCCAGAGGGAAAGCAGACAGTTAATAAAAAATTGCTGCAGTACTAATGCAGGAACACTTTGCTACCGGCCATGTATGCTCACCTGCACGCTCGCTGCGAACGGTCCCCTCGCGCAGACGCACGGCTTCACCTGTGCACGTGCAGTCAAGCACACTGTGCGGGCGAACACGCGCCTGCTCTTGGAAAGGGCGAATTGCTGTAGGCTTGCACCTCTTGCAGCATCGCCTCCAGAAGGTGCATCCTCCAAGTCCAGTACTATCATCCAATTTTCCTGCCTTCCGGGGACTCGGCTCGCACCCCCCCGGCTCCCGGCCCGCTCTGCGGGGACAACGATGCCCTTTGCTGGGGCCAGAGCCAGTGACCCCCAGCCCCTCGCCCACCCCAGCCCTCACGCAGCTGGACGTGTGCTTTGCTCTGCTCACGCCGGCTGCGCGATGGGGGACTCGCCAGCCCCCCCCAGCACGCTCTGGTCCTGCCGCTCCCTTCCTCCTCTGCCACAGTGCCAGCCAGTTCTGCTGGAGGCAACGGCTCCAGTGAAGGAAATTGCACAGGGCCCAATTTGTGTGAGAAGAGCTGACCTGCTGCCATGACCTGGGGGCGAGATTTCATTTACTTGAGAGGGATGAATGTTGCCATGAAAATTCTTCAGGCACTCAATTGTTCAGATTCCTCTTGGCAAGAAATGGAGATTCCTGCCATGCAGCAAAGGAGACATCAGTGCAGAAGGGGTCCAGCACAGAGGGGCAGCACATATTTAAAATTCGGTGAATGGGACATCTAGATGTGTGCGTGGTGGTCAGCACGTGTTTGCAGACAGCACACAGACACGATGGCAGCTGCACGTGGGATGGAGCCCCGAAGTGCATTCCCAACAAGAGGTAAGGAGAGATCTTAAAAAAGGTTGCCTGATGCCCCTGGGGCTTCGTAAATAGGGTCAGTGTGGTTCAGCGAGCCCTGCTGCTTCCTCACGATTGCAGTTCCTCTATGGGAGCCACCACCTGGGCACCTCTTGGGGACTAAAGTAATGCCCTTGTGACAGGAGCCGGTGCATACATCAGAATAGCCAAGTGCACCCAGATAAGCAATGCCCGCGTGGACTCCAGGGAGCTGAGTTAGGAAATGGTAAGACTGGGCGGGCACTGGAACCTCCCCAGGCTCCCCAGGCCAGAAAGACATTGAAATGAGCAGGAATGGGAGAGAGACAGCACATGCCTGAGAGGCAGAGGTCTTTTCCAGGATCCTGCCTGATGAACCTCTGATCCACACTGAAAAGAAGGCGTTGGATGGCAGAGGCACACGTCTGTTTGTGTTTCTACATGCCCATGACCATGTTGTAGGGAGGGGAGTGCTCTCGTTCGTTCTCTCTGCAGGCACAGATGATATAGCCTCAGGAGCATGCAGTTATCAAAATGTTATAAATTGCTACCTTTTAAATAGTGTGGTAATTTGCTAGTCCATTACAGAAGGAGTTGTAGGATACAAGGAGCACACTATGAAAAATTATGTTTTCTGTGTCACTGCTGACCTCCGCCGCTGAGGTGCTCTCAGAACTGCTCTATTTTGTCAGGCTACCCTGAGCAATTAGCCATCCGTCAGAGCTCGTCAGCGTGTCATGCTGCCACAGGAGGCACCACATGCTCCTGACAGCCCCCTTCCTGGAAACACTCGCTGCAGAGGTGCCGTTCAGCGCCGGGTCGGTGTAACCCCTGGTCACCAGCAGACTGGGCCCAGCACAGAAAACCCGAGTGGCTCTCTGCAGCCACCTCTCCTTCTGTAACCACTGCATTTCTGTGGACATCGCGGTGAGCTGAGCCAGTTAATTTTATTCCGGCAGTTCAATTCTAAGAATTCCTCAGACTTGGAAACAGTCTTTTTTTTGTGACCAGCAGTGTTTTTAGTGACAGTGCTGCTGCCAGGCACTGCCTGTGCAGAAGCCAGCCGAAAGGCAGCCCGCCCTGGCACGGCAGCGCTGATGCTTCCCAATGGGATGTGGTCCTCAGGCTGGAGGTAGCCCTGCTCCCCATCTGGCATCTTGCTGACAAACATTCAGGTCTCCCCTTCTCATGACAGTCCTACAGTGCAGCCCCATCACAGTCTCATTATCTCTGAGATTCCAAAATCCTATTTTTTCAGTGTTGAAGCACAATACAGTCTTTCTACACAGCCTGTAGTTCTTGTTTAGGCAAAGTACAGTCTATGATAGAGATCATCTTTAGTCTCTTGCTCTTAAAGGATTCTTGAAACTCCTGCAGGCCTTGAAGACAGGGAGATAAGCCTTCCCTCTGTTACCCACTAACAAAGAGATACAGGTCAGAGGTCTCCTTTCCAAAGCCAGAGGCAAATTCCCTTAGAGGGAGCTTCTTAAGGCCAGGGAAGATGCCTGGGTCGCCTTTTCAGCACCACCCAACAACGCCGCAGCCAGCGGCTGGTGACGAGCCCCCAGCACCTCCGCAAACGACCCTCCTGCAGAGCCTGCAGCATCCGTGGATGGCTCCAGCCTTCAGAAGCCCCTGACTGCAACAGTCCTTACACACAGCCATGGAAAAAGGAAAAAAAAAAAACCCTCCTGTCTCCCAGGGCAGCCTTTCACCTCTGCTGCACCTACGCCTGGGTACCCCGGGGCTCTGGCTCTGGTCCCCTCTCAGGAGACTGATGTTCCGTATCCTGGCTGGCCACCTTGGCCCAAAAGCCCGGGAGCAACCCCTGCCCTTGGATCCCCTGGACGGTCACAGCCAGCCTTCACACGCTTCAGAGACCACCCTGGTTTGTGCCATTAAAGGCTGTTGCCCCTACCCAGGCGTCCAGGCAAGATGCCCCGAACCATGAGGTACAGCCAGCAAAGCTGTTTATGAGCCCAGGGCTGCCTTGCACTTTGGGGAAGGAGGTAGCTCCAGGTCTATTCAGCTCACACCAAGAGAATTATGTCTGTTACGCTGGTTTTGTGCAAGGCAAAGGATATTTCTCCTAACCCGTATTTAATTTCTGCACATAAATCCCTCTGAACCTAAACTTCCCATTTATTTTACGTGCTTAGATATTTCCTCATGAGTTGCAGGTGAAATCCATGTCCTGGCACACACATAAAAGCAAATGCAGAAGGAATGTGTCCTGGCAATATATGCATCATCCCTGGAGATAAATCTTCTCTTGCTGGGGAGGAAACCCTCAAGGCTTGCACACACACCAGGTATTAATCTCAAAATATATACATTTCAGAATAAAAAACCACATGTAAATACCGGATCTGTTACTGCTAGGCTTTCTGTTCAAGAGGCAAGGTGACAACTGGCAGTTCGTAGGAGACTTGCACGCAACTTCCTTACAAACAGCTTATTAAAAACACATCAACCATCCAACACCTGGGGAATCGTCAGCACCCTGGCAACACGCGCAGCATACTCCGGTGGTATCCCACACAGGAAATACACGTGCTGCTGCCATTCTGGTCTAGAAAAACACGGCGAGACAGCCAAACGCAGGAAGGGCCCGCAGCAGCGTGGGGCTGGGCGGGGGGGCCGTTCAGGGGGGCTGGCACAGCCTGGCAGGGGGGCACCCCCAGCCCTGTGCCCAGTGCAGCCCTCCCCGGGGACCGACCCTGGGGGGCTGCCGTGGTCCCTGTCAGGGCCCGACAGCGGGGAGCAGGGGCAAGGCCTCCGCGGTTTGCTACCTCCACACCCACATTTCTCACAGGGAGCGCTACCGGGGAGCTCTGTGAATATGAATTGCTTTGACCTCACTTAGTCTGATATGGTGGAGTATTAAATCTCTATTTTTCAAGCATTAAGCCTGTGTAATAGAAGGATGCTGCGAGCAATTTGCAATAAGATGAAGGGATATTACTGTCCTGGGAGACAGACAATCCAACCACATCCGCAAATTGATAACAGAGATAGTGGCTTAGGTTCATGCTAGCTATTAATTAAGGGCATGTTTTATGTGGAAGACAATACCAGCTTACACAGGCAGGTACTTGTTGGCCTTCCCTTCCCTGCGGTGAGCAGCATTCCCGGAGCTGGAGAGCAGCCAGGTGGGTTAGCTTACCTTGCTGAACCTCAGTTCACACACTTACATTTGAATCTCTGACAGGCAAAATTAATTTCTCAAGCCTTTAGCACAGCAGCTTCAGAGCTGCTGTTCTGCCACTCAGGAGCAGTCGGCGGCCGCTGGGAGCCACGGCCACGGGGAGCAGCATGCAAGCCCTCCTTCCAGGGACATTCAAAGGCTTGGCCGGAGCAAAGAGCTAGCGACTGTGCTGAGAGCTCATACGTCTCCGGCTGCTAACGAGCAGCTAACCACGTCCCAGGCTCTTCCTTTGCCCTCAGAACTTGCTGCCTCATTATCTGGCTCATCCCCAGCTCTCAGGCAAAGAAATCCAAACCCGGGTTTCGTTCCTTCTTGCTGCTGCCTCTCTCATCTCTGCTGCTGGCAGTGTCCCACTCGGCCAAGGGATGCGATCCCTCTCCCACCCGATGCCCTCAGCAGGCTTTCACTTCCCACCCCCTGCAGTGGGACTCTCTCAGCATCTCACATCCATTAATTGACTTGGGCTGATTACAGGGCCACTAACTTGTGTCCCAATTACCAACAGAATATTACCCTTTTATAACCTTTTGCTCCTCGCCCTGGCATTTAGCAGCAAGCCTGCAACATGCCCTGAAAGCTGACCCCCACGCTGGCACGAAAGACCCACTGCTGCTCCTGTTTCACTCAGGAAAACCTCTCCCAGGTCTCACCCTGGTTCTCTGAGCAGGGTCAGGGCACGCAGGGGGAGCTCGCTCTCGGGGAGCCCGCAGCCACCCCCAGAGCTCGGCACGGCGAAACATCGCAGAGGGCAAGAACCAAGAGCCAGGGTGCGCGACGGCCCCGGGGAGCAAGGACACCGACTGGAAGCCCAGGGTCTGTCAGGCTGATGGAGCCCAGGTACACGGCAAATCCAGAGCGCCAGAAAGATGGCTGTGTCAGAGAGCTCTCCGGGAGCGTCTTCCCTGCTGGGTGCTGCCCAAAAGGTTGCGCAGAGCCAAATAATGCAGGTCAGCAGTGGGAGTACGTACAGTACATATATAATACTGGAGAAAATGGCATAAAAGTCCTGTGTGATGAGTAAATTAAATCATCCCTTCTTATGGACAGGCACCTATGGAGAAGAACTGAGACAGATAAATCAATGGGATAGGCTAGGGAGACAGAAGAGATTTATTTTTTTCCAGATGGGATTAGAGAACAGCTGGAGAATTGATGAGGTGGCGAGGACCGGAGATCGCTCCAGATGGCAGGCTCCTGCTGATGCTGCTTCCCACCCCAAAACCCCTCTGTCGGGTCCCCCGTGCAGGTCACACACACCTTTCGGGAAAATGGTTTTCAAAGATGTGGGGAACTTCTGATGGGAAGTGTGAGCCCTTACAAACCGGACAGTTCCCTCTAGGCTCTTTCGATAAAGTGTCCCCTGGCCGCTGGTTTCTCTGTCATCAGCAAAGACATTTCACGTCAAAACAAAGCCCCTGAGAATTGCCTGGAAACAAAAATATGCAGAGTGCATGGTTTGTCCAGTGGGTCACCTTGCGGCGTGCAGAGCTGAAGGAAAGCGTCGGGGGAGTCCAGGGCCAAGGGCGATGCTGAAGCTGTGGGCAGTGCGGGTCTTCCTGGAACCTGGTGAAGCCACTCCTGCTGTGGATTTCTCTGTATTTCAAAGGTGACAGTTGGTGCGAGGTGGGTACTGAGACCCAGAGACTTCAGGTGGGCCTAGGACATGTCCATGAGCTGGCGAGAATGGGGCTCGTCACATGCTCAAACACGTACATCCCTCGCTGAGCAGAGGCAAGGACAGCAAGGCAGGGCCTGGGGAGGGGGCTGCTGAAGGGGGGCAATCTGGTCAACAGTGAGAACTGGAAAAATTTACAAAACAAAGGGAAAGAAAGGACAAGCTGGGAGTCATGCCCCAGCGAATGAAGGGAGCGTCCTTGGGTGTTGGAGAGCACACATCTGCAGCCCACAGACCCCTCCTGGCTGCAGCCCCACCCCATCTGCAGTGTCCCCATTAAAGCCTCATGCACGCGTGCAGTGTCCCCATTAAAGCCTCATGCACACATGCTTATGAAGCCAAAACCTGCCCTGGGATGGCAGTAATCATTAGCCCTGCAAGTTGGAGAACCTCCGTGCTTGTGCCTGCTCTACATCTGCAGCCACATCCCAGTCCGCCCTCTCGAGCCAGTACTTGTACTGCACATTACAACATTTCAGGCCGCCTGCTGCAGCTCAGCTGTATGGCTGATCTTGGGTGAGGAATTTCTCTTTATACCAAACTGTCTATTCAAGTCATAAAAATAGGCTTTTTTTCCTTCTGTAAGTGCAACACTTTTCATATTTTTACTTCCAGCTGTCTAGATAGTATTTCACTTTTTTCATTTCTAGTGCTCACTCTCAGTTATTTAATGTGAATTTCTAGGGCATGGTGCCCTTAGCAGACATCAGAGCAATATAACACAAGAAATCAGATATATACTGTTCCAGGAGAAGGCAGGAACAAAAAGACAAACTAGGCTCTTAATACATATGGTGCTTTTGATTCATGGAATATAGAAAATTGTATTTGATTATATCTGTAATGGATCCTCGTAACTTTAGATTAGGGTTATGCTGATGGCCCAACTAATGGACAGTTTATTGCAGGAATAGATTTCATCCTATCATATTTTTTTCCTGGTATCAATTACTTTGAATGTTTAAATGTCTCATTTCTCTGGATGTTTATTGCTCAATTTTCCTTACCCCTACACACACACACAATGCCCCTGGTGTTCCTCTGCCAAGTCGCAAGGAACGACAGTCTGTGCGCTCCTGGAGTCCAGACGCTCCTGCCACCTTCCAGCGGCACAGGTCAGAAGAAGATCCACGCCGGTGCCTTACAGTTACTGAAGTCATCACAGCACGTAAGCCATGAGGTAATAGAGTCAAAGTTCTCTTAGCAGACGTGTGGATGTTGTTGGGAAAAAAAAAAAAAAAAAAAAAGGCTTATTAAATTGACCTGTCTAGAAAGGAAAAAAAAAACTTGTGGGATTGCTGCCTGTGAGATTAACAGCAAATCTGATGGTAAAAGAGATTGGAAGCAAAGATGGTTTGGTGAAGAGCATCTCATTTTCAGTCAACTTATATTAGTAAAGCCCTGAAGGATAAAATATTACTCTCTGAAGCAGTGCAGAAGGATCTTTAAGGAAATGTTTATATGCCAGTAAAGAGTTTGGGAGTCTGTGGAGGCACCAGAGATGTTACCTGTTGATCTGAGGGCCAGGGGGCAAGGAGGCTGGTGGATTTTTATTCCTTTTTTTTTTTTTTTTTAACTTTCCTGGCCATAACCATGTCTGAAATTCTGTCTAAACAAACAAACAAACAAAAAAAAAATCAGACAAACAAAATCTTGCAGAGAAAAATGACACCTTTGTCACACTTCGAATACTAGCCAAGTTGCTCAACACCAGTGATTTCAGACTGATTTCTGCTATTTACTTTATATAAGTATGCTCTGCCTCACTCCAGAATTGATACCTGCCAGTCCAGGGAGACCGACGTCATGACACCCCTTAAGAGTAATGATCCCCAATTAGGAACAGATGCCGAGGTTTGAGGGCATTTCTCGGGGCCACTGGCTGACACGTGTCAGAGGGAAGCACTGGGTGCACATTTCAAAAGGCGTCTGTCAATGAGAAATTGTTAGGTTTTGGTTTTTTGTTTTTTGTTTTTTTTTTTTTTTTACTTTCAGCTAAACTCTTCAATTTGTCCAGCATGCCCAGAGGAGAGGATGCAGGGGCTCTTCAGTGCTGATGCATTTGACTGTCACAGCCCTTATTTCTTGGAGAAGAGCTTGACAGTAGGGCTGCGTGACGGCTCTCCGGGCTCTGTCGAGGAGCACAAGGCTGCGTGTCGGCCTCAGCAAGAGGCATTTCCCATGGCGAGACAGAATCATTGCATCCTACTCCTGAATTTCCCTGGCGCCTTCCACCCGGCACTCTGGTGGAGGCCCGAGTCTGCACTACAACCCCCACGCGTGCTGCTGCACCAGCAGCCAGACCAGCAGAGGCTTCGGCGAGGACGCCGGGGAGAGGGGATGCCTCGCACTGGGAGGGAGCCCCCAGCCCCCGCGCGCGGGCGGGAGCTCCTGGGAGCGCAGGGCTGCCTCCCCCCTGCGCAGGCACCCTCCTTCGTACACGGGCTGCGTGGTATCGCTACTCCAAGAGCTGGATCCACTTATTTTTTTCATTAAAATGCAAATTAATTTAATAAAAAGTGGAATTGTAAATTAATGAAGCACTTAAAAATTCTACATAATACAAGGCTAATACTTACTCTGTAGAATTTCCTCCAGTTAATATCACCACTAACTCTCCCAAGTGGGACCAGCCTAAATCAGTCTCTCTGACTGGGGATGGGATCAGAGCTCACCGACCGGGCACATCGCCTTCTTACCGCTTCCCAGTTACTGGGGCGGTTGGGAGACCGGCCTCCTCCGCAGGAAACTCAGCCCGTACGTACCTGCCTGCCCCCTCACAGCTGATCCATTCCAGAGCAGGGACATTTCCTTTCCCCTTAAAATAGGAATGGCACCCCGTAACTTACTGCAACCCGCCAGTTCACATGAAGACTACGGGGCTGCCGCCCTGAGCAGAGCCCCAGTGAGGAGCTGCCCTCCCACGATGTTCAGCCCCAGTAACACCCCAGCTGCTCCAGGCACTCGGCTCCCGTGGAGGCTCCGGTCATATTTGAGCCAGAGACTGTGGGTCCACTTTTTCTTCCTCTTTTTGCCCTAATACAAAGTGCCAGATTCAGGTAGTGGCTCCAGAGCCAAAGCGTTCTGCATGCAAATTGTGGGGCTGTCTGTTGGGAAGGGCTGGCAGCCAGCCCCATCGTGCTGCTGTCATGCTCGTGGGCAGCTGAGCCGCTGCACAGACCCTCCCTGCCAGCACCCGGACCCGCAGCAGCCCCTCCATCCTCAGCATTATTGTCCCTTTTCTGCAGGGTGGGAGCAGAGAGACAGGAGAAAGTGTCCTGGCCAAGGCTGGCAGGGGGGCAAATATTGCTCAGGTCTAACTTTCAGGGCTGTTATTTACCTTCAGGGCAAATCTGGCTCAAGAAAACAAAAAATTGCCTTGAACGCACAGGTGCAAGGCTTGTTCCCTGCACCTTCCCTTTCTAACTTCTACTTCTATGGAAACACTGTAGAAAATTCATCCTCACAAAATTCATCCTCAAAATAAAGTAGAACCAGAGAAGCACGCTGAGAAAACGTTGGGCAAAGTGAGTAAGGTATTTCCAACAGGATCGATCCCTCCTGACTTGCAGGTACACATCTGAGCTCATCACCTTCTGCTTTTTTATAGCAAATGGAGAGAAAAGGCAATTCTGAGAAGAATTCAATTCATCCTAAAGTAGGTCAGGCAAACCACACCAAAAAAATTGCCCTTTCCTCTCTGTTAACTACAAAGAGAGTCCAGGCAGACAGCTTTCACGAAGACGTGGCACCGGTACACATCCAGAGTTAGGTGACAAGGATCCTCCCTCCTACCTCTCTCAATGGGACCCTGGCCACCCCGCCTGCACCCACCTCAGCCCCCCCAGCACGGAGCCCCTTGTCGCACGCGCAGCCCCACGGCTGTATGTGCAGCCCCGTGGCCACGCGCAGCCCCACGGCTGTATGTGCAGCCCCGTGGCCACGCGCAGCCCCACGGCTGTGTGTGCAGCCCCGTGGCCACACACACAGCCCCACGGCTGTATGTGCAGCTCTGTGGCCACACGCGCAGCCCCACGGCTGTATGTGCAGCCCCGTGGCCACACGCAGCCCCACGGCTGTATGTGCAGCCCCGTGGCCACACACACAGCCCCACGGCTGTATGTGCAGCCCCGTGGCCACACACACAGCCCCACGGCTGTATGTGCAGCCCCGTGGCCACACGCAGCCCCACGGCTGTGTGTGCAGCCCCGTGGCCACGCGCAGCCCCACGGCTGTGTGTGCAGCCCCGTGGCCACGCGCAGCCCCACGGCTGTATGTGCAGCCCCGTGGCCACGCGCAGCCCCACGGCTGTGTGTGCAGCCCCGTGGCCACACGCAGCCCCACGGCTGTATGTGCAGCCCCGTGGCCACACACACAGCCCCACGGCTGTATGTGCAGCCCCGTGGCCACACGCAGCCCCACGGCTGTATGTGCAGCCCCGTGGCCACGCGCAGCCCCACGGCTGTGTGTGCAGCCCCGTGGCCACACGCAGCCCCACGGCTGTATGTGCAGCCCCGTGGCCACGCGCAGCCCCACGGCTGTATGTGCAGCCCCGTGGCCACACGCAGCCCCACGGCTGTATGTGCAGCCCCGTGGCCACACGCAGCCCGTCGCACGTGGATCCCCACTGTATCCATGGGTCCCCCCCCGCCACTGAGGGACCTGCCCAGCTCCTTCTCCTCTGGCCACGCAGCAGGGACCACGTGGGCTCTGGGCTGGTGTTAATCACCCGCCACCATCGTTTATTGCCATGTATACACCACTGCCAGGAACATTATCCCTTAAATAAGGCTCACCCACCCTATTATTGTAATGTCAACTCTGAACCTCTCAGATAAGCCCTGCAGACAATTTATAATTACACAGAAGCAGCTCCTGTACACCGCGCCGAGGGGCCATCAGGAGAGGATTTGGGTCTTTCACGGAGCCGGCGTTTGACAGGTCTCTTTGCTGTTATTTCATCTTGACAGCTCCTTGCCACCCAGCTCCTCCTGTGACTCCACACTCGCACTTTGTTGTGTGATCTCAGGTGAAGAGAGCACGTAATGGGCAATAATTGTGGGCGATTACTGTTTACTTGTTAACTTTGCTTGGCAGAGCAGCTGTGATGGACGCACCGACTGGAATATTCCCTTTATCCCCTGTAGCACCGAGAGTGAACTGGTGCTTAATTCAAAGGCTGAAATCTATAAAAAGGAAGACGAAACCCATCATTAAATTTCTCTTAGTGGCTATGTGCATAATTCATCCAAACACCATCAAATATAAATGGCCCTGTGTCAGGATGAGCCGTGCAGGCGCAGCAAGCCCAGCCTGCTGCAGGAGACAGAAGCCGCACGGCAGCCGCTCACCACGTTAATGAGCTCGGGCTCCGCGGGGACTCCGCGCGCGCCCGGCGCGGGACGCGGCGATGGGACCGACCCGCGGGCCCAGCAAGCAGCCGCCGGCTGGGAGGTGCCGGCCTGGCCCCCGGCCCCGGGGACAGGGGCACAGGACACGGCCGGGTGGCACCACGGGCAGGCGGAGGGCTCGGGGAGGCCCGGGGGCTCAGGCCGTGTCCTGCCCCCAGACCCCCGCGCCGCGCCAGGAGCTGAGCTGGGCCCAGCCCCGCTCACCTCTGCTCCGGCAGCAAAGCTGCCTAAAGCTGCCCGCTCGCACTGCTACGCCATTCACCGCCTGCTTCCCCCCCCCCGCTTAAAAGCACTTATACAGGTTATGATACCCAAGTTCTTTACTGCGCCCCGCTAGTGTCTGAACTTTGATTGGGAGCTGAATGACCTCAATTTCACAAGCAGCAGCTATGTACCAGTAAACAATCCTCATTCCACACAAGCAGATGTTCATCTACAGAGGTTTAGCAAAGGCTTGCAACAAGTTTTCTAGAAAGTTTATTTCCAATTATTTGAAAAATACAAAGTTATTTAATAAATCACAGCAAGTTGTTTTGCAAAAGTATCCTTTGAACCATTAGATATTATTGTGAATGCCAATTTTTCTTCCCACCTTATGGCTCGGTAAAGATACCCCACTCAATTTTCATCAAAAGCACATGAAAGCAATCAAGACTCCTGTAGTTTCTATGGAAATAAGGGATGCAAATTGGGATTGCGTGGTGCCTTTTTTCTTGAATTTATCCATAAAAATGCAAATACTCTTCAACAGATACTGAAATATTTGCCTTGTTCTAAGGGAGGCAAAATATATAGATGAGGCTCTTTTGTCCACTGGCTCTCCTGGCAAAGAGATTTGACAGCTCACGGAGCACAAGCCCACTGAAGCCGAACAAGCCCTGTCAGAGCACAAAACCAGTGGCAGAGCTGGCTCTTGCAGGCGTGTGCCCGGCCCCAAAGGGCTGCAGCTTGCTCCTTGCAGGGCCCTCGGCCACCAGCATTAGCGAGCAGGTTCTCCTGCCCTTTCCCACAACGCAACCTACCTCGTCCACAGGTCCCGTGCAGATCCCTGCCCACAGCACAAGGTCACTCCGGCCACGCTGGTGCTGAATTAGAAGAGCAACGTCACGTCTTTGGTGTGGAAAACAGATGAGCAGAAGGAGCAGCACAGACAAATCACATTTGTGATGCATCTGCTCTGCTTTCCTGCCAGCCACTTCTGAGAAGAGTACACAATGGTGGATAACCTGCTCCTCTGCTAGGTCTCATCTTGTCCTGCAGCAGGGACTGATCAAAACCCTGCAGCAGGAGGTTTAATTAATTCCCTTTCAAACTGAAGGATACAGAATAGTTAATGCTAGCAAAGGTCTTTGGGTTATTCCCCTAAGTGCTCTCCTGCTCTCTCTTTTTCTGTAAGCTGTGTTGTGTGCTTCACACAGCACTTACCAATAAATAATCAAACAGCTCTAGGAAATGCTGATCCACAGCTGGGCCCCTTGTCCCCCAGCCAGGTCCAGGTGCCAAGTGCTGCAGCTCCGCTACCACAGGGAGCCCTTGCAGGAGGCTGGAGCTCATCCCTTGTGCATACTCTCTGCTGGTGGACTTAGGGAAATTTAAAAGGTCGAGGAATAGTATTTTGGATCACTGTTGTTTGCCAGAATTAATGACAAACCCTGGCAACTCAACTAGTAAAACTCCAAGTGTGAACTAGAGCATGCTGCAGCTGCACAGTTATAAACTTGCAATTAATTAATTGTGCTGTCACTATACGCACCTGAGAACAACAGCTAGATCAAAGAACTGAGCAGAGATCAAAATGATTAGTAGATCACTGTACTTACAGTTGAAAGTGCCAACTAGATACAGCAAAGACATAGTCTGGCTTAGGTGCTTCTATTAACAGCTCTGGAAGCCAAAGTCACCCCACAGACTGTAGAAAAAAAAAAGTCAGGAAAGCCGGATTGCTTACAGTGTGGCCAGGGAGAAGCTGTGATGGTCTGTCCGCTGACTTCTCCTTTCCACGGGTGCTGAACGCCTCTCTGTGCCTGTTACACCGGCGACACCATTTACACCTCGGGCCGTGCTGAAACGGGCCGTGTGAGCCCCGCGGGGCCGTGCGGGTCCGGAGAGCCCGGGGGGTGGGAGCAGGGGCCCGGCCAAGGGCTCGGGCTGTGCCGGGGGGACGGCTGCTCCCTGCCCACCGCCCGCAGCCACAGCACACGCCGCGCCTGCCGCTGGCGCTGCCGGACAGGCACTGCCCAGGGCTCGTGTCCGCCCCGCGCCCAGCACGGGGACGAGCGTGCCAGCGGCACTGGTGGCAGCGCCTGAGCTCTCGATGCTCCAGCACCAGCTCCCAAGGTGGAGAAAGTGTCGGCGATTTTGAAAGGCAGCAGCTTTCACTCCTGCTGGGGCATTACCAGGCACCCGCGCTAGCTGCTCCATGCTGACTTAGCCAAGCACGGCTAGATTTATGGTGCTGATTTATAATTTTCCCTAAAGTTATTGGGAAAATACACTCCAGCTGCACCTTGCAAGCCTCCAGAAGGGGCTTGTCCTGCTCTCTAGACAGCCTCTCCCCTCCACTGGCAGGTTGTGGGGAGCCATGAGGAACGCTGTGGATTTTCTAAAGTTTTCAGTCTTGGATTGTTGTTTTTCAAAGAGAAATGCTGTAGCATAACCAAACATAGGAGCTCACTGGAGGAATTACTGATTGATTCCTGGCGTACGTTAAGCCGGGCGCCACATTTGCAACACAAACAGTGGCTCCGGCTTGCAGAGCTGGTCTGCACCATCACTGAGCTCCACGCTGAGCCTGTGCTCTGAGGGACTACGCACAGGTCTGAGGGATGCTGGCCTTGCCGGAGCCAGCTCCGTGTGTCCCCCGCAGTCCCCACACACCTCACCAAGCACCCTGCACCAGAAAACATCTGCTCGGGTGCCCCAGAGGGAAAGGGCTCTGCTGGACCCGCACGGGGGGGAAGGCTCCGGGCAGGGACCACGGGGGCCACGTCTCCTCAGAACCGGGCTCAGAGCCGTTAGAGCCGCCGGCCCCGCCGCGAGGCAGTTCCCTCTCGCCGGTGAGACGATGGCAAAGACCTGGGGAAGGCACCGGGTGCTGTACACGTACCTGCTGTCCTGCCTCGGACGTACTTCAGCAGCAAGCTTTGTCTCCACTGTCTCCTGGTTGTCACATTGTTTAATTTCTCTTTGTAATTGACTCAGACATTGTTTAATTTCTCTGACTAATTGGCTCAGACAGAGAGGCTGCAGGCAATGTCATTCTCACATCATCTCTCAGAAACGTCGCAGGCATGAGGGTGACTTTACTGGTCATACGCAGCAAAGTCCCGCAGCATCCCTCCAGATTCAGCCCAGCTGGGACCGAGGAGGCAGGAACAGAGAGCAGGTATAAATCATAGACGTTTGCAGGACAAAGGCTATTAGTAGGGTGCCATCCTGGCTTGTGTGGGAACTGCCCTCATTTAACATACATGCCAACAAGTGAGACAGCAGGTAGGAATGAGAATTCAGCACAGCACACAGGTGACACCACTGTTTACACCGTTCAAATCCAGAAGTGCCTGAAGGGACCTTCCAAGGCATCTCACAAAGTGAGGTGAAAGCAGGTAAAGATAGTGAGCAACAAAATCTTGTCACATACCTGTAGTCTTAGACCACCCACTGCAAGGTCTATTTATGACACATGATTATTGATATGGATTCAACACATATCTGAAAAAAATATTGAACAAATGTTCCTTTGTATTTTAAAATGTCTTGCATCTAGCATGCCCTATATTTTTCCAGTCACATGAATTACTTGAACAGATGTATTTATCTCTCCAGGTTCAACAGGTACAATACAATGGCTATTTCATCAAGCCTGATTTGATGGACCCAGGTGCTTCAGAAAGTTATTTTCCACACTGGAGTCTTTTGGTGGGCTCTGGACGGGACTGAAACAACTAGAGGTGAAAAACACAAGTTCAGACTTTCCCTGGAGAGCTGAAAGTGTTTGGAGATCTGCAGCACTGCTCACTGAAAAGAGTTTTAATAGCTTTGACCTTTGTGGGGTCTGTGCAGTTGCCTTTTGTCAAAAAGTGTATGTGGAAGAATTCTGGAAAAGAGCTGAAGATAAAACAAATGTTCTGCTGGGGGAATTACAGAGTGCTTCTTCACGTTCTTGGATTATTGCTCCAAAGTTTAGACCATTAGCATCAGCTGCCGCAGGCATATAAGTAGTTTATAATCAGGAAGGGCAAATAATTGCCGGTCAGGAAGCAATAAAAATATTTGTTATTGCAGATGACTTATAAATAAATCATTTGAAATGACAGCATTAATCAGACGATTCATTTGACAAGTGTTTGATCAGCTCTGCCTGATGCACAGTGGCCAGCCAGGCACTCCGTAAAGAGAGTTCCCTGAATACATGGAAATCCCTGAAATTTCTGGAAAGAAGAATCCCTTCACCTCAGGACACGCAGGCACAGAGAGAAGTGGCCAGATCATAAACTGTGGGACTCTTGCACATCAGACCAGACTGCAGAAGGTTGCAGGAGCAAAGGCAGCACCAGCCCCGGGGCAGGAGCGAGAGCGGCCGTGGTCCAGCTCAGCCAAACACGCAGCCCCCACAGCCCCCACAGCCCCCACAGCCCCCACAGCCCCCACAGCCCCCACAGCCCCCACAGCCCCACAGCCCCCCACAGCCCCCACAGCCACCACAGCCCCACAGCCCCCACAGCCCCCACAGCCCCCCACAGCCCCCACAGCCCCCACAGCCCCCGCAGCCCCCACAGCCCCCAAAGCCCCCGCAGCCCCCACAGCCCCCCACAGCCCCCGCAGCCCCCACAGCCCCCACAGCCCCCACAGCCCCCAGCCACGCCCCCCACACAGCCCCCCACAGCCCCATCCCACAGCCCCCACAGCCCCCACAGCCCCCCACAGCCCCACAGCCCCCACAGCACCCACAGTCCCCACAGCCCCCACAGCCCCCCACAGCCCCCACCCCACAGCCCCACAGCCCCCACAGCCCCACAGCCCCCACAGCCCCCACAGCCCCCACAGCCCCCGCAGTCCCCACAGCCCCCACAGCCCCCACAGCCCCCACAGCCCCCACAGCCCCCACAGCCCCCGCAGCCCCCGCAGCCCCTGCAGCCCCCCCACAGCCCCACAGCCCCCACAGCCACCACAGCCCCCACAGCCCCCACAGCCCCCACAGCCACCACAGCCCCCACAGCCCCCACAGCCCCCACAGCCCCCGCAGCCCCCACAGCCCCCCACAGCCCCCACAGCCCCCACAGCCCCCACAGCCCCCACAGCCCCCACAGCCCCCACAGCCCCCGCAGCCCCCACAGCCCCCACATCCCCACAGCCCCCACAGCCCCACAGCCCCCACAGCCCCCGCAGCCCCCACAGCCCCCACAGCCCCCACAGCCCATCCCACAGCCCCCACAGCCCCCACAGCCCCCGCAGTCCCCCACACCCCCACAGCCCCCCACATGCCCCCACAGCCCCCACAGCACCCACAGTCCCCACAGCCCCCACAGCCCCCCACAGCCCCCACAGCTCCCACAGCCCCCACAGCCCCCACAGCCCCCACAGCCCCCCACAGCACCCACAGCCCCCCACAGCCCCCACAGCCCCCCACAGCCCCCGCAGTCCCCACAGCCCCCACAGCCCCCACAGCCCCCACAGCCCCCGCCAGCCCCATGCCCACAGCCCCACAGCCCCCACAGCCCCATCCCACAGCCCCCCACAGCCCCACAGCCCCCACAGCCCCACAGCCCCCACAGCCCCTGCAGCCCCCACAGCCCCCACAGCCCCCACCAGCCCCCCAAAGCCCCCACAGCCCCCACAGCCCCATCCCACAGCCCCCACAGCCCCCACAGCCCCCACAGCCCCCACACCCCACAGCCCCATCCCACAGCCCCCACAGCCCCCACAGCCCCTGCAGCCCCATCCCACAGCCCCCACAGCCCCCGCAGCCCCCACAGCCCCCGCAGCCCCCACAGCCCCATCCCACAGCCCATCCCACAGCCCCCACAGCCCCCGCAGCCCCCACATCCCCCACAGCCCCCACAGCCCCCACAGCCCCCGCAGCCCATCCACAGCCCCATCCCACAGCCCCCACAGCCCCCACAGCCCCACAGCCCCGCAGCCCCCCACAGCCCCATCCCACAGCCCCATCCCACAGCCCCCACAGCCCCCGCAGCCCCCACATCCCCCACAGCCCCCACAGCCCCACAGCCCCCGCAGCCCCATCCCACAGCCCCATCCCACAGCCCCCACAGCCCCACAGCCCCCACAGCCCCCGCAGCCCCCACAGCCCCCACAGCCCCCACAGCCCCCGACCCCCACAGCCCCATCCCTGCACCAGGCACTCGTGAGCAGACCCGGGATATTGGCCAGTTAAGGGACTACTGCTAGCCTGGCATCTCTCATAGTTTTCAGACTACGCCAGGCTAACTTGATCAGGGGGTTATCTTTTTTCCAAAACCACAAAATGAGTCTGTGTCAGTCTAATAGCTCTGTGTACATTGTGTCTCATCTGTATTCAGCACATGACCAAAACGTGAAGAGGAAAATAGCCCCTGAAAATAAAAGTATGAGAGATAGGAGGAGACACAAGCCATGAAAAAAGCAAACAGCTCCCTGCCTGCATTCTGACTTCCAGCGCCTCTGTCACTCCCACACCCTCTGAGCTGCTGTGTACAGCTCTTAGTGGGTTTGGACTCATCAGTGTTCAGAAACATTAATATAATCTACTCTGAGATGTGCACATATTATCTCCATACTGAAATGCAAAATAGGCAAGAAGCAGCGTATTTTGGGTGATTTTTTTTCCTTTGTGCATTTTAGCTCAGAACAATCTAATATAAAAAACCCCAATAGCTTAAATGTCAGTTTTCTATTATTTTTACATCTTGGTCTCAAGGGATATAAAGGGCACCACATTGCACTCAAGAGTGAAGAGTCGCAGAGCTTCTCCTTTACGAGATGGCAGAATGAGAAGCATCATCCAAGGCAGCCGAGGGTGCCACCTTTCCCACCTCCTCCCTGTGACTGCAGGCTGGAGCAAGAGCACAACTTAGTAGGGATGGGACGATGAAGATCCTCCAACACATAAGGATGAGGTTTTCCAGCAAAAAGCCTCTTTGTTTAACCAGAGTGGCTGTAAGACTTGTAAAAGCCGAGCATGAGGAATGTAGCCATGGTGAAAGGGGCGACCTGTTGTGAGGGATTAGACCTTGGTGGTGAGGTTGCTGGCTGGTAGGACCCTAGATCCATGTGATGTGGGGGGGCAGGCGGGGCACCGCCACTGTAAAACTGCAGGATGGTCAGATCATGAGATTATCACCGAAAAATAAGCATTTTCCAGAGGCTGCTGCCCCCAGGCAAAGCACGGTCCTGTGGGGTGACGGCTGGCACCCGCGTCTGCAGGGCAAAGGGACGCAGCAGCCCTGGGGCCTCTACAACCAGCAGAAGGATCTGCCAAGCAGCGATGCTGGGAACGGGGTTCTACTTGTTCATTATTCACATCTCTGATGCCTTTATCAGAAGCATTAACTCCGTGAACTCCTCTTGGGCTGGGAGGCTTGCGAGGAAGTGAGGATCCCTTGACAAGAAAAGATGTTAATGCACCATTTGCATATTTTAGGAGGAAGCTCCCTATGAAATCACATAAGTGTAATTTTCCTACAGTCTCCAAATCCCCAGCCCCTTCCAGCTGATGCAAATAAAATCTTGTTATTCAGCTTACACCAGAAGGCTCTGGCACCTCCCCCCCCAGGACGGGAGGATTATCTGAAGCCAGGAGGAAAAATTGACAGGTTGAACTTCTCCTCATACCCAACAATTTAATGGTTTGATTTTTACCAAGAAGGAGTTTTAATGTCACAAACAAAACAGCAACAGCCCTGCCAACAGCAGTGATGCCACTGTCCCCGCAGCTCGTGTGACAGCGGATGCAGGCGGCTGACCCGGGTGCTGGCGAGGACCAGCGATGAGCAGTGCAGCGAGGGGCCCCCCCGTCCCGAGGGGACCCCGCGGGGCCACAGCCCCCGCACCCCGGGGCTGCCCCGGCCCAGCATGAATTTCGCAAGGGCCAGGTTTGGAGGCGAGCGTGCTGCTCTGCCCTTCGCTCCTCTCTCTGCTGCGTCAGAGCAGGTCCAGGCTGGAGTGTAGTGGAATTTTCCGGTCTGCTGTGAATATTTTCTACTCTGTCAACCTTTTATTTAAATGACATTTGGCTGCAGTGCTAAAAGTACGATATTGAAAATCAATAAGTGGAAAGTGTTTGAAAGCCAATCTAAATCAAATATTACAATATGGTGAAGTTAATCATCTGAAATTAACCTTATAACTGCTTGAATCGCTCTAATCTATAAAGAAAATCAATATCGGCATATCAAACCCTACTCCAAGCTGCTCTCTGTTCCAGCTGACCATGCAAATAGAAAATAATAGCCAGTGGATGCTTATTGCTCCTTATTATACGTTAACACTTCGCATGGGCTGAGATGGTCAGACAAGGATTCCCTGGGGGGACTCGGCCATGAAATGCAGGCAAAGGCCCCCGCTCTAACGAGGCACCACAGCAGCAAACCCCCTGGAAGTCGCTCTGACGGCAGTTCATTTCAGAGCACCAGTTGGAGCTGTGAGTGACTAACGGGCTGTTCCATGAGGAGAACTGCTTGTCCCTGGACGAAAACAAGCAGCCTGAGCACAGCACCCTGCACCTTGCCAGGCCCCAGCTCGGCCCCAGGCTACGCGCAAGGTCCCCACCAGCATCCCCAGCGCTGCAGGCACAGCGCCCGCGGCCGCCAGCACCCCCTGCCCCACGCCGCGGGCACCCTGCTGCCAGACCCAAGCGTCAGGGCCGTCCCCCCGGCCGAAGCGCTGCTGGCTGCAGCCTCTGTCCCGGCGAGCGGCCCCGGGGCGTCACTGAGCCCCACGGCGGGAGCTGCAGCCCAGCAGCGAGCGGCCAAAGTGGCCATCAACGCGGCACTTGCTAGGAGGCTCTGAGGTACGACGGCGATAAGTGCTTTGATAGCAGATACAAACCTATAAATAACAACAGCTTCTCTCAAAAACCTCATTTTAAAATAATGAAGACATTTTGTAAAGTGACAAGTGTCTCAAATGTTGATAGTAGAGGCTGGGGGAGGCTCTTTTTGAAGTCTCAGGAACAGATGCAAGAAGTGAGATCCCAGCAGCAACCTGCACAGCCTCAGGAGCCCAGGATTAGTCAGAGCCAAGCAGAGTGATCACAGGCCTTCCCAGATGCTCCTCACGGGCCCCAAATTCAAAGATGAACGAAGGTTCACGAGCAGATGCCATTGCCCAGGGAACACGGCCACTTCCAGCCAGTCCCGCCTGCGCTCAGAATGAAGAGCAGCACTTGCCTCCAAGGGCCGCTCGCTGGTAGAGCTCCCCACACACGCCAGCTACCCCAAGGTCAAAATATTTTCTGCATAACAATGAAGGAAGAAAATAGCGCCAATTTTCTAGCTGCCAATCTGGCATGTGGCAGCTCCCATCTCTTACTCCTATTCCCCACCCAGGGCAGTCTGTGAGGGTGCAATACCCGCACAGTACCAGCACCAGCGGCAGGACCACAGTGACCATGTCCCAGCCCAGAGCGCTTCCCCCCCAGCTTGGTTGGAAGGATGGTCACAAGCTGGTGGATAAGATGTGGTGAAGGGAAGGTACCAGTGACTGCTGCTGGCTGCCCCAAACACTCCTGGATTGTTTTCTTTCATCTCAGATCGGATGGAGTTGGAATGGAACAGGAATTTTTATTCATCACCTGGGTGCAGGAGTCAAGGCTGGGCTCAGGGTGGCTCTGCTTCTTCCTTCCAATCTCCCAAAGCTTCTGAGAGCATTGCTGTAACCTGGTCCCCATTGCAGGGGAGGGACCTGCATGGCACCTGGTGCTGCTCTCCCTTCTGGGCTGGTGGCACAGGACAGGCACCAGGGCCAAACAGCACAGTTTGGGATCACAGTGACCCCAAGGGGGAGCAGCCCGTGGCAGCAGCTCCTCTGCTGCTCGCAATTAGCCTTTTGCTCAGCATCTGTTTCTGAAGCTTTTCCTGCGTTTCAGATCAAGATGTAACTGGTGTGTTGCCCCAGAAAGAGGGAGAACACATACTGAATCAGGCAGAAGCCATCCCAGAAGTGAACACGCCGACAGGGAGGCTGGAAACACTGTTTGAAGCAGCAGGTTGCCACAGAGTGATTAAGAACGGCCCTTTGATACTGGAAATGCGTTTTAATGAGTTTTCTGCAATATATATATCCCTTGGGTTCCCATGGAAAGGCCTTGCACAAGCCTCCCTTGCCCTCACCCAAAGGGACACCAAGATCTGTAAGAAATGCTTCATTTTTTAATACTTTAAGCTGAAAGGGTTTTAAATAACTGGGAGCTTTCTCAGTGCTTAAGAATCTCTTCATTTCTTTAAATTACAAGGAGGAACTGCATTTGCAGAATCAATACTCAGAATTTACAAACAACTCTCCAGGTAAGGAGACTCAATAGCAGAGCTTAGCTCTCAAGGCAGGGGGGGATCCAGCAATAGAAGCTTTCTGTCCAAATTGCAGCACAGGGCAGTTTCGGCTGTGACTCTGGCAGACCCACGCTCTCCACATCACAGGAGTCTGATATTTTGCATTATAATTTATTTTAGATTTTGAGCTTTCCGAGGAAGGGACTACATCTAACTTAGTGTGCGTAGAATACACAGCAGCCAGGATAGAAAATCCACGTCTGCTGAAGCCATGAGCTCCTGCCACAGTGCAGAGTGAAGAAACAATTATTGGAGTAATGGCAAATATTAACACGCAGGGCTCTCGGTGAGAGCTCCAGGGACGGTGGCGTTGTGCTAGCAAGAAGAGGTGCCCTAGTGGGGAGAAGGGATTTGCTGCCCCAGCCCTAGCTCTGAGCTTAGAGGTCCTTCACAGACCCTCAGGAAGGGGAGCTGGGATAAAAGGCCCTGGAGCTGGCACTGCTGCACACACCTCCTCGTCACCCGCAGCAGCCCCAGCACCTCGCAGTGACCCAGGAGAAGCATTAGGCTCAGCAGCCTTTCCTCCACCTCCACCCAGCCGGACCCCCCCCCGCACACCCTGGTGCACACTAAGAGGCAATGCCGAGATGAACTGGGCAGGTCAGCAATTACACAACTGTAAAACAGAAGGCAGGCTTTTGCCCAGTGTCACTAAAACCACTTACAGCCTATTGGAGGGGACAGTTCTCCCATTAAGAAACCAAAAGACATTCTGACTTTCTCCAGCCTCAGGGCCTGGAAGCATGAAGCATCTACTGCCTAATTAAATTTTAATATACTGGCAGAGTGCGGGTCTTGTGAGTGTGTGCTGGACGGAGTGCCAGAGCTGTCAGCAGAGGGGCAGGCTCTAGCTGCCCGCAGCCGCCGGCTGGCGTGGCAGGGTGCCGCGGTGCAGCACTGCAGCCAGCGCAGTGCTCAGGGCACCAGCTCCCCGAGCTGCCCGTTGCCTCCGCACACGGATGCACCACCCAGAGGGCTGGAGCCTCTCCGCGGTAAGAGTGCAGTCAGGAGAAAGACACAAGCACCGTGATTCTGGCAGCACGGCGGAGGGCCCATGCTTTCCTGAGTGGATCTGAAGGACAGAGGAGATGGAGCCAGGGACCTGGCTGATGTTTAGCAGGACATTGGCCTACTGTGTGCACGTACACACAGTTTTGCACCTGAGTTTGTTTTTTATGCTCCATTGCTCGCTAATAGGCGACATCTGAGGCCAAGCGGCTTTCTCTTCCTAGCAGTTCTGCTCTTTTTTACTTGTGAACTGGGGATTCCTCTCTGGGCTTCTCTGATTGTTTTTAGCTGGCAAATGGCTGTCAGAAGGGCTCACCCTGCTCCAGGGAGAGGTTAACACCTTGCCCCAGCTTGCAGCGTCCTGAGCACGCGCTAGGAAGCTGCTCTCCTCACACTCCCCTTTTGGCCCCAGCAGCATCGGCCGAGCAGCACGTGGCCTCCCTCCACCCGTGACCCACAGCGCCGGCGCAGTCCCTTCCTTGCCCCTGCTTTGCCAGGCCAGAGCTCTGCACTGGGCTGAGCCTTCCTAAAAAAACTCGCTCCTGCCTCTCCTGGTGTCTGCTCTGCTGCTCCATACACCAGGACACAAACGGAGAGCCCGGCGGACAGGCTCACTGCTCTTGGATGCCCCTTGTTATCTCTGCCACGACCCCAGCCCTCCTCCGAATGCCCTTGACTCCTTGTGACGTGATGGGGACCAGGAGCCACGTGCCATCCCAGCCTGGATGCAGCCCACTGCCCAGGCGTGCCACGGCAAGCAGGCAGCTGGGACTGCTTGGACATTGCCGAGGGTGCCAAAGGGCCAGGGGTCCCCAGCCATTGTTTCCTTGGTAAATAAATGCCTGAAAAGCACCCCAGTGAGAGTAGCCACTGACAGATGGCCGGGACCAGAGACAGGTCCCGCTGCTAAAAACACTGTGATTTTTAAATAGGTGACTCATATGTTTTCATTGTGCCACAGCTCTCCTACCGTGAAGCTGCCTGCAAGAAATGTTCACACAAGCCTTCCAGAGCACTGTGCTGAAATAAGGTGCTGTCAAAA